CGACAATAACAAAATCAATACAAATTCAAAATAAATATTTGTTTACGTTATTAACGCATGCGCAATGAGAGATAATGTCTGCGTTGGACCGACTGCTCACGCTGAGCTAACAAAAAAGTATTTTTTTGGCGTCAGATCTACGTCAACTTTCCGCTGACGCCCAGATAAGGCGCTAGTTCTAAGAAACCAGGCCTTGAGCTAACAAACCAGTATTTTGTTGGCGTCAGCGTGACGTTGACGTCCCGCTGACGCCCAGATAAGGCGCTTGTCCTAAGAAACCAGACCTTAAGAAACCAGGTCTTTAATCGGCGAATGTCAATAATCACATAGTCGCTTTGGTGAATGTCCAAAATATTTATTATATCCGATTTGATATTAAATTGTTCGTTGATATTATTACATTTATTCGATATTTTAATATCTGCTGAAGATAGATTAAGAGAAACATTAGTGTTCGGAGTACCGGTTAAATGGATACTGGGCAGTGGCACTTGACCTTTAAAAAACGTTGATGTCAGTCAAATGTATACCGGGCAGGGGCACTTAACTAGATCTAGTATATACTTCAGACATTTATCAAAATAACTATGCGATTGTCAATATTCATCCGTGGAAGTCAACAACCCCCAATTTTGGTCATTCACAGGAGCATATTCATTTAAAATAAATAAAAAAAAATTACGTTCTACCTTGCATATGGCATAGCTGCCAACTTTTGCGCTTTTTATAGAATATTTTTCACAGAACTTGATAACGAGGTTAAAGGCACTTAAAAACATCTCAGAAATATAGTATTGTTAAGTATGCACTTTGCTAAGAAAAATCATTCTCAAAAAGCCTAAAAATTGATAACTATGATATTGTCAGTGTTTTTTTGTTTGTTTTTTTTTTGCAATATCAGGCCTGTGGAAAAGTTGTTTTTGGATTTCATGTACTAAAAACAAAGTGTACTCCTTTCACTTGTTAAATTAAAAAAAAGTAATAAAATATCAAAATTTAGTGACGTCAAACTGCTATGACGTCCTCAACCACTTGTATGAGGGATTTGAGGGTTTTCTTACTAAATTTTTATTGCCATTTTTCAACTTTTTAGTGGCGGCAATGTTGACAGATTTGGCAATCGCACCAATGCTAATTACAAAAATCGTTTTTTTTTCTTCATTCATTTAACGAATTAGATAAAGCCTAAACTTATGACAGCGTTTCTCTTTTTATTGGAGAAAATTTGGGTATAGCTTAATGTGCAATTAGTCCACCATTATTAATTTGAGATTTCGACAATTGTTTCTATTGAGAAAACAGTAGAAAGGGTCTAAGAAAATAAGTCTTTCCTCGAATTATAAAAAATCTCTGAACAAAGCATCGTAACCTCCTGAACTTTAAATAATGTCAGATTCATCTAGAAATATGTACTTTAGAAGAAAGTAAACTCATAAATACGATAAAATATTTTATAAAAAATGTAACTAACTAAACTGAATTTATTTTTTCATTTTCATCATTGCATGAAAAATGATTTTATATTTTAACATATTTTGCATACTATGGGATATTTTCATGATGTATTTCTTTACAATTTAGTCATTAAACAAAATTATCTGTACATAAAATATAATATGCTTATATATCATAAAACTTTCCTAAATATACTTGTATCGATTTTTTATGATTTTAATTGAATTTTATGATTTTTTATGATTTTATTTGAATAAACGTCGGAAACTTCGACGAGCTTCGTAAATCCAATTATATTTTTATATAGAGAGTCACTTTGTGAAAGCAAATAAATAGAGAAAAATCTTAAAATATTATTTTTAAGTAATAAAATTGTATCAAATGTTATTCAATTTATTGGTCACTGGATCTTAAGAGGTTAAACTAGTTAAGAGCTTTTGACCAAATCAAATATAAATAAATATAAAAGAGCATTCGATAAAATTTCATACAAAACAAATAACCAGCTTTTAAAGATGAAATGTGCAAATATTTGGACAAAAAGATTCGGAATTTAAAGACTTTGAAACATTTTCTGGTTCTAAATCTAATTGACAGTAAAGAACTTGTGCACCCTTGTTTTTATTTTAAGAAATGAAAAAGGGCGAATTAAGATTTGTACATTTGTACTTTTTTCTACTACCTGAACACAGAATTTGGTCCTGATTCGGTGATTCGAATCACTAAATTGATTGGGAGATTTGAATCACCAGCTTGAAACTGATTTTCACACGACAGTGAAATGAATAATTCTTAATTTAGTGGTTTGAATCGCTAACTTGAAAGTAATTCGAATCTAATTCTCATACGACAGGGAATCAAACAATATTTTTTAATTCGGTGATTTGAATCTGATTCGACAGAGATTTCAATATGATTTTGATTTGACAGTGATTTGATTATGATTCCAGTTCGACAGTGATTTGAATCTGATTTTGATTCGATAGTGATTTGAATCTAATTCTGTTTCGAGATTGATTTGAATCTGATTCCGATACGGCAGTGATCAAAACCAAATCTGTTTCAAATTGATTATTCTAATCATTGATAAAATTCGACGATTTGAATCATTTTTTCGAAACATCAAAACATTTTTAGATTGCCTGAGGCAAAATGGTGGATTTGAAAGGAGAATATTTGTAATAACCCAAAAATAATATATTTGAAATATATAAAAATAATTGTACTAGTTTTTTAAAGCTCCATTTTCCCAACCTAATTCACGAATAGTATTGTATATGAACTATATCTCTTGACTGCTAAAACCTGCCTCTTAATTTGAAGTTAAGTCATTCTATACTAAGTTTCGAGGCTCGATAATGTATCTATTATACGTATATCACTTCAATAACAGTATCTGGCTTATTAATTATTTGACTGGACTGCTGTCGTCTTTATTTCTACATATCTCTGACAATATTCATGAATATTGTCCGAATCAATGCTAATACCGTCTTTCATTTGTGATTATTGTGCATTATGGTTACTTAAGGCATTATTTAGTGGCATGTCTCGCAATTTAGTGATATGATAAGCAGTTGTCAATTCAATCTGATGTCTGGCCACTGTATAGATGAAGTGTAATGACAATGTCACTGCTATCTGAAGGCAGGGTTAGGATGACATGCTATTAAGTATGATGAATTTAATGTAAAATGAATTTTAATAAAACTTCTATTCACCCTTTTTTTTCCTGTTTCGTAAAATTAGTCTGATTAAATTTTTAATCGGGAATTACCCCAATGATCGTCCATTGACTTATATGTACCTATGACTGTAACCGCAAATTGACTAAAACACACATACGACTATGATCACCCATTGACTAAAATGCACATATGACTAGTACCACCTTTTGACTGAAATTCACCTATGATTATAATTGCCCATTGACTGAAATTCATTAATGACTGTGATTACCGGTTGACTAAAATGCACCTATGACTGTGATTGCCCGTTGACTAAAATGCATCTATGACTGTGATTGCCGTTGACTAAAATGCACCTATGACTATGATCACTTACTGACTAAAACGTATCTGTATGATTATGATGATCGTTCGATCGCGGCTCCCACTAAACTAAGGGCTGTAAAAGTTTGCAAAGTAGTAGACTCGAGGATTAGGGTTTTCCTTTTTGTCACGTCTTCCGTTTGTCTCAATGCTTGACCCCGTAGCTCCTTGTCTTCTGGGTTTAGTATCAAATTCACATAGCTTCAGAATTCAAGAGTTTTAGCCTTAAATGCGTTATGATCTTGATTTTTTGCGCCTAATATATTACATTACATATCATACCAGCTGGATAGGATAAAAAAAGTCTGGTTGTAACACTAGATTGAGTGAACTTTACGCTTATTATAACAATTTTTAATTGGCCAAGATAGATTTAAATGAATTTGTAAAATATTTCATTTTTTTAGCTGTTGTATTAGTTGCATAGTATCAAATACATTGATTTTTCTAAATTGAGTATAGTTGCATTTTTAAATTCTTGCATTTAAGCGATGCACTAATAATGTTTAAGGCTGTTTTTTGAAGGCTCTGTAGACTCATAAAATGACGAATAGTAAGTTATTTTCAAAAATGCTGAGAGTTAGTAACAGTTACTCATGACCGTAACATCAAGTTTAGTCAGTGGTTGGAAGTAGCGCACTGCATGTAGTAAAACTACTGTAGTCTGCATTTCTTTTGTAGTTTGTAGTGTAGCGTGCTACTTTTTTGTAAAAAAAGGAGTGTAGTAAGTAATGCGATACAAAAGCAAACCAACAAGAAAGAAAAAGAAAAAAAAACAGTAGTTTGTAGCGATTCTTGGCAACTACTTTTTACGCTAGTTTACTATATGAACAAGGTTATAACATAACTAAATTTTCGAATTCGATGGGAATAAATCTTCGCTGGTCTGTCAAAGGACGCAATTTTAAATGTCTTTTAACAAAAATTGCTTATTTAGAGTCATGTATAATTAATATACAGTACCGCTCAAAAGTATCAGTACACCTAGAAACTTATAAAAAAATGGCAAAATTCAAAGTGTCATAACTTCTTTAAAAATGATCAAAAATGCTTCTGCTTTAGAACTTTTTGAANGGATATGGTGGAGATGGTAATGGATTTGTAGTGCTATGTTGATGCACGGAGAAGAGGTACACACACATAACTATCGTGATATTTGATCAACAAATGGATATGGTGGAGATGGTAATGGATATGGTGGAGATGGTAATGGATTTGTAGTGCTATGTTGATGCACGGAGAAGAGGTACACACACATAACTATCGTGATATTTGATCAACAAATGGATATGGTGGAGATGGTAATGGATATGGTGGAGATGGTAATGGATTTGTAGTGCTATGTTGATGCACGGAGAAGAGGTACACACACATAACTATCGTGATATTTGATCAACAAATGGATATGGTGGAGATGGTAATGGATATGGTGGAGATGGTAATGGATTTGTAGTGCTATGTTGATGCACGGAGAAGAGGTACACACACATAACTATCGTGATATTTGATCAACAAATGGATATGGTGGAGATGGTAATGGATATGGTGGAGATGGTAATGGATTTGTAGTGCTATGTTGATGCACGGAGAAGAGGTACACACACATAACTATCGTGATATTTGATCAACAAATGGATATGGTGGAGATGGTAATGGATATGGTGGAGATGGTAATGGATTTGTAGTGCTATGTTGATGCACGGAGAAGAGGTACACACACATAACTATCGTGATATTTGATCAACAAATGGATATGGTGGAGATGGTAATGGATATGGTGGAGATGGTAATGGATTTGTAGTGCTATGTTGATGCACGGAGAAGAGGTACACACACATAACTATCGTGATATTTGATCAACAAATGGATATGGTGGAGATGGTAATGGATATGGTGGAGATGGTAATGGATTTGTAGTGCTATGTTGATGCACGGAGAAGAGGTACACACACATAACTATCGTGATATTTGATCAACAAATGGATATGGTGGAGATGGTAATGGATATGGTGGAGATGGTAATGGATTTGTAGTGCTATGTTGATGCACGGAGAAGAGGTACACACACATAACTATCGTGATATTTGATCAACAAATGGATATGGTGGAGATGGTAATGGATATGGTGGAGATGGTAATGGATTTGTAGTGCTATGTTGATGCACGGAGAAGAGGTACACACACATAACTATCGTGATATTTGATCAACAAATGGATATGGTGGAGATGGTAATGGATATGGTGGAGATGGTAATGGATTTGTAGTGCTATGTTGATGCACGGAGAAGAGGTACACACACATAACTATCGTGATATTTGATCAACAAATGGATATGGTGGAGATGGTAATGGATATGGTGGAGATGGTAATGGATTTGTAGTGCTATGTTGATGCACGGAGAAGAGGTACACACACATAACTATCGTGATATTTGATCAACAAATGGATATGGTGGAGATGGTAATGGATATGGTGGAGATGGTAATGGATTTGTAGTGCTATGTTGATGCACGGAGAAGAGGTACACACACATAACTATCGTGATATTTGATCAACAAATGGATATGGTGGAGATGGTAATGGATATGGTGGAGATGGTAATGGATTTGTAGTGCTATGTTGATGCACGGAGAAGAGGTACACACACATAACTATCGTGATATTTGATCAACAAATGGATATGGTGGAGATGGTAATGGATATGGTGGAGATGGTAATGGATTTGTAGTGCTATGTTGATGCACGGAGAAGAGGTACACACACATAACTATCGTGATATTTGATCAACAAATGGATATGGTGGAGATGGTAATGGATATGGTGGAGATGGTAATGGATTTGTAGTGCTATGTTGATGCATGGAGAAGAGGTACACAGACATAACTATCATGATATTTAATCAACATGGCCTTGCATTTGATATTAGAAGAATGAAATGATTCAAAACTTTCAGAAAGTTCATCAACTCTAAAGATATCAAAAACTTCCATGTTTATAGGCCCTGAATAAAAACTCGAAAAACTCTTCAGATTAAACCTCTTCCCAATTAAATGATATCCATTTTCATTCTGAACAAAATTAAAAATTTTTAAAATTATGTTTCCTTCAAGGAGAACAACACAGTCCCTGGGTTTTGTCGTCAACTTATATTCCTCACAAGCAAGGCCATGTAAGTTCAGCCCTTGAACTCCAGCAGTTGGCAAATCTTTGTCATTGTTTCCCTTTAAAGAATTAAAACCCTTGCTTTTCCCAACATTTTCTGGCTCAAAGAAACATAGATTTTTTTCGGCCAACCTCTTCACAACCTGTTGTAATGGTGAATTCGGTTTCATCAGGATAGTCTTCAGGCTACCCAAGAAGTTTTCAAATGGGAATGCACTAAAAGAAGGCAAGGGACCCAATCGCTCTGCATCTGCTGGTAAATGCAACAAAGAATGCGTGTTATAAATTAAAAATTCTTTGCCATATAACTTCTTGCTATCTCGAACGAAGTCTGACAAACACTTTTTAGCAACATCGATCAGGTGCATGTACTTGGCAACACTCATTATACTGATGGCGATGAAAAGAAGCATAAAATGAGAATAATATTCTATTGGAAGAATATCCTTCAGCAAAACTGGGCCAAGATAAAGAAGAAATTGCCTCAGCTCAGTAGCTTTCCAATAGTCTAGCTCATTTAAGGATCTTGGCTCACGAGCGAAATCAGAAGGCCACAAAGACTTGGAAGATGTTATCATATCATCGAGTCTGATCCTGTCCCTTGCCCGAAGTTTTCCAAGATGTGATGATCCCTTTCCTTTCCAAGAGTATAACAGTTTTCTCATCATCCCGAGATAAACTAAATGCATAGGATCATGTGGAAAAGAAGATACCATGCCAATCTTTAAATCATTTAAAGGACTGACTAGATGATCGAGATGATGTCCACCGTGAATCATTTGTTCAAAAGAATAGTCAGTGCGCAGATCTGCCTTCATTTCTAAAAAAACTGTACGATTATTGACTCGCTCACCATGCTGAACGCAACGATCACACCCATTATACCCATTAAAATTCTTAACACATTTAATGAAGCAGCGTGCGGGCGTATCGCAAATGAAACTTCTCACCTTAACAGACAATTTCTGATTTTCTGGACTTATGACTATACCATTGACAAGAACATCTTTTAATTCCTGAACAACAGGTTGTAAAAATTCCTCAACAGGTGGCTTCGTCAATCCACAAAAAAGAGAGACTAGGAAAGGATTAGCAGGCATGGGTGAAGCATATAATCTACACAAAATGGGCCAAAACTGTTTTCTGGAGCTTCGAAATAAAGGAAGACCATCAATGTTAAAATCCAATAGCAGAGAGTCCTTCACAATATGGTGCTGCTTCATAGTCTTTTCAATGCCATTTTTCAGTCCAAAGTGAAAAAATTCGCCAGATCCCATTTGTTGGACATCAACACGGCGGGGGGTTTTCAGCAAAGTTGCTGCCGTACTTGGTAATTCAGGATGCCACTTTTTCAACCCCTTTAACAATGAAGTTAGATGTTTCATGGCTACTCCATTAGTCCCAAAATACCAATTTCGCAAAAAGGATCCAATTTCTTCTACCTCTTCATCACTTGATGCAGAAGAAAGGGGAAGGTTGAATCCTTCATTGAAATCATAATCTTCAAAAAAAACATTTTTTTGCTCTTCCTGACCATGCAGTGCTATAGAGGGCATTTGATTTGGATCAGAATCATCATCATCTGAACTCACAGTACTCAAATGAGGATTGAGTTCGACGGACATAAATTTCGAGGTCGATGGCAACAAACTTTGACACATTTTGTTCAAAGCTGCCTCTTTTTTACGTTCGTCTAAAACTTTAGAAAGCCTTCTCCTCTTTTGTTGCTTCTGAGGACAAGTCTTTCTACCAAGAACACTAAACAAAGAGGGGTACTATTATTAATCGAAGTTTATTAATTTATTTTTAAATCATTAAAAACACCATTTAGCTTTATTATGCATTTATTTGAAATAAAGTAAAGCACACAATCATATAGAATTCGAAAACTGAAATATATACGCGTTTATCACGAGATACTTTGGAAAATTTTCATATCATGACCTGCAGCAGAATAATGAGGAACCTGCATGTGTTGGATAATTGCAGAATGTTCATTATTTTAAATAGTCTATATCTTAAAACTCTCAACAAACTTAACAATGTATTTGTCCATCTTACATTCAGGCACAAAAAATTTAAACGTTTTACATGAAGAAACCTTACCTACGGTGAACACGTGGTTGCAGAAAAATGTGTTCTGAAAGGGGTGTTCTGGTTCTGAACAATACTGGTAAATAGGGAAGCTAGATAACAAGGACCGATATTGAAAATAATGAAAGATCAAGGAAGAAAAACGAAGCAGATTTCATTCGAAATGGGAGAAAACGAAATTTTTTCCAAAATTCGCGAAATTCACGCATTTTGAAATTCATTAATAGGGTGCACGAACTTCTCGCGTTAATAATTTTTTAATGCGAGGAGAAAGAAAAGAAAAAAATGAAAGAAATGAAATGAATTTAATTAATAAAATGAATTTAATGAAAGAAAAAAATATGCGAGATTCTCGCGCTGTAGTGAAAACAATGATTCATATATCGTAATAATGACATCAGGATTTTTAAAACTATGGCAAATCCATAGTGCGAACCATTGAAAAACTACATTGGGATTAGGTGCGCCAAAAACTTAAATGCATAAATTTAAAGCTTCCGTATTTTTTTCATCGGGATTGATGGCATTGCACCAAATTTGTCTTGGTGGTTGTACTATACTGTGAAATTTAACAAGTTTGCATTTCATTTGGAGCCTCGATGTTTGTAGTTGGCATAACAGATCACAATACAGATATATCTTCATAGCGCTAACATCTGAGAGAGAATTCAATCCATACATTGATATTATGATCATTACATTTTATACGAATAATTAAGATCATTAAATATGCAATACATTTGTAAACAAAAGCAGAGAATATCAGTGTTTTATGAATTCCAACTAAATATTAAAGTATTCAGTTAAAATGTACGAATTAATCATTAATGGACAAAACTTAATTTTATTCTAAATTAAATGAAAGGTACATTCCCACGAAAAAGGAAAATAACATTTCAATGTAAGAAATATTTTAAAGACTTTTGCAATTTTAAAATAGGATTGCAATTGCATTCCTTTATGGCACCTTTGAATTCTGAGTTTAAGCAATTTACTTTCGATCGCAAAACATCGGGAAAAATTTATTTAAAATAAGTGTTTAAACTAAACAATTATTATTAATTAACATATATTTAACAATATTCGAAAGCTATTTCTGAAGAAGGAGCAATAATATTTTCAGTATGGAATGACTTCTTTTATGACAAAATATATTGATCTTAAAAACAAACAATAAAAATAAATGAAAAAACATATTTACCCATTAGAGTTCTCCATCTTTTGAAGATAAAACTCGAAATCAAAATCCCAGAGAATCTATCTAATCTAAATCTAAATACGTTTGCCGCTAAGAAGATTCAAACTATTAAATGTATCGATGCCGATCTATTGGAGTTGAGTTCCAAACAGACGTCTTCCTTCTTTCTGCCCGTCACGGGGCCAGCAGGTACTAGTGTAAGCTGGGTAATCGCAGTAGCCGATCTATAGGGCCAATGCTTAATGAATGTTTGAAAACTTTCTGCACTGCGTTCCATGAAGGGCCTACGTATACCCAGTATACAGTAATAATCACTATCACTTTCCCAACGGTGCCGTCAGTTTTTTCGCGAACGGCCAGGACTTATGTTTTTGCTGGGGCGACACGCAAAAAAACATGCACGGAACAGCAAAAAGCCATTCAATCCAATCTTCTCATTTAAAATATTTTCCCCTACAGAATTTTCCCTACACAGGTACCTTTTTTACCGGGACCTTTTTTTCCGGGGACCTTTTTTTCCGTACCTTTTTTTCCGNTTGACTAAACATGCAAACTGAGCTTATGAATAAGCATCCATATTTTTACCTTTCTTACTTGTAGTTTAAATTTAATTTTTAAAAAAATAATTGCCGAAAATATAATAAACGCTAAACTACCTATGAAGAAATACTGCATTGAGTTAGTTAAGTTGACAGACTCTCACCATCTCCTGTAAAGATCATTTATTTAAGCTGATTAGCATGAAGTGTTCATTTTTCATTCGAGAATTTATTATTATTTAAGGTTTGAAGTTTATTAAGAGAGATTAGAGTTTACATAAATGTGTGGAATTCTTTTTTCCAATTTTCAGTTCGATTCGTATCTTATGTTCGTATGAGATTTTGATTTCCTTGTTGTCCTAATTTTATTTGCTTGAAATTACTATTTTTTTTTTTGTTCCTCTTCTGTTTTTGATTTAGTCTTTTTCTCTTTTAATTTTTCATTTTTTTTAAATAATTATTGTGACTAAACATACAAACTAAGCTTATGAAGAAAAAAAAATTTCTTGTTTTAAATTTTTCTTACCATTAGGTCAAATTGATATCTTAGAAAATACCAAAAATGTAAGCATTATTGACGCTAAACTTCCAACGAAGAAATTAAATGAGAGTTGGTTACAATTTGGAAAAATGCCTCAAAGAGAAGGTTTGATGTTTATGCATCAGTCAATGGAAATTGTCGAAGTGGTGCTGTCGGTTCAAGAAATGGTTGCGGAAGTTAAAGTGCAAAGTGATACGAAGGAAGATGGAGAAATGGAATCTCAACTAGTGCCCACATTTGAAAGCCTTTAAGAATTTCTGTATTCATACTAAATTAAAGAAAATGAACAGCAATCTGTGACAAATGTCAGAATTTACTGATTAATTTATTGAGATGAAATGAGTGTGTTCAAACCAAAATTTCTAACTATTTTAAATAAATATATGTGTTTATTCATCATTCTTTTGCATCGTAAGTATTTTTGCTTTGATATTTCACATGGTGCGTAACGTTTTGAAAAAGTGCTTAAAGGTGCTTATTTTCGATTTTCGTTTTTTTAAAGGTGCTTTTTTTTCATTGGGTATTTTTAAAATGTGCTTAATTTTCCCTTTTCGAAAAAAGATTTTTTTTCTTACACTATGTCGATTATAGCCACGTATTGTGCAGAAACGTGCTTTTTACATTGTTCTATCCAACATTTTCACAATTCATTCAACAACAATCCATTTCGGTGTACTGTCGGTCCATAGCGTAGGAAAGCGTCACTTTACTTTACATGTTTGATGAAATGCTGGGTTCGGTGAGATTTTTGTTGCATTTTGCAAGATACTCACAATTTCAGACTTCATTTTCCACCCTCTGATATCGAACTGAAAAATCTCTTGATAATTTTATAATGACTAATATAATCAAGAAAGGAGTTCTTTGGCAAAAACTAGTTATTTTATCATGATCATGTAAAATCTTTGAAAATTATTTTGCATTTTGTTAATGTTCATAATGCTTAAAAATATTTTTTGGGTGCTTAAAAAGTACTTAAAAAAAATCCTATTTTTTGTTGAAAAATTTGGCTGCGCACCTTGTTTCATGTTGGCGGCCATGCATCGTTATCACGTATCTACCGCTCGTAATGAGTAATCTGATACAAACTAATCGATCGAGATTCTATTACATAGATTATTTTCTAATTTTTGATTTAATTAGTCTTTAATTGTTTTTCTCTCATTTTAAATTTTTCATTATTCTCTTCCTTCAATTATATTCTCCTTTCTCTATCTTTGTTGCTGGTTACTAACCGGTTTCCTAATTTTATTTTTGCCGTTAATGCTTTTGAAGAATTACAGCTGAACTACAATGAAAAGACCTCATAATACCCTTTATATTTTTTCTTAAGATATGAAACCATCTTTAACTCACATCTATCAAATAAAGTTTAAATGAAAATGGTGTGAGAAGATCTATGGTGTAAGTACTCCTTCAAAAAAGGCGAAATATTTATCTTTTTTTCCTCATAATTCTCTCTCTGCGTAAAAGAACTGAAGAAGAATCCAGAAATCTTATTTCCACCACAACTAAATCTCTTTCCCATATCCACTCATAATCCTATTATGAACCACAAAGACACTGCCATATGACAAGGACAATGACAGGTGCACTTGTCTTCCCAATCAATATGGGAAGACATTTTTGTTATAATTCAAGGATGGCTTATATGGGATTTTTTTAGTGTAGGAATTATTACTACTTCTTTCTTTATATGTAACATAAAAATTGTTTCCGTCTCTTTCGATTGAATGCTTTACATAGCCAGGTTGACGTGGCAGTCGAAGGATTTTATGATTGATGGATATGGAAAAAATAAAAAAAGTAATATTTGTTAGAAAAAATTCCTACAAAAGTAGGAACTTTTTCTAACAAATATTATTCTTTTGTATAATTCCTAAAGTTTAACTTTTTTTTGTATTGTAAAGAATAAATTAAATAGCATTACATTATGCTTTGATTTGGTATGGTTTTAAAAAAGAAATTTATGGTGGTGTAATAAGATTTTATAGTATAAAGGAGGTTATTTTTTCATTTTAATACAAAAGTTATGAATTTAAAAATGCATACTAAATTATTAAAAAAAGTATAAAATAACAATTATCATTCCACAGTGTTCGGTTATAAAAATAAATACGTTATTTGTAATTGCGAGTAAGTGATTTGTAGTAGTTTATACGTTTAGTATGTAATTCGCTAATTTAATTGTATTTATAAAATTCGATTATGATAATTTAACATAAATTCTTCAATGTGTCTAAGAAAGTTAAATTTTACTATACTCATTTATTTAAAACGTTGAAAAAGTAAAATTATTTTATTTTTAAAAACTTCATTACATTTATATTTCCCTTTTCAGTCGTTGGTTTTTAACTTATTTAAAAATGATACATTAATTGACTCGGAATTTAATATTATTATTTAACTAGATTGCAGTTATGTACTGTTTAAATATTTTATTTAGCATTTGACATTTGTTTTTTTAAAAAGGTTTGTTTTCTATTTCTTCCCGTTCGGTTGGAATGAACCTATTTCTTTCAGGGTGATTTTTTCCATGATTTATTTCAACTGATAGAGAATTTCGTCAAGCCTGTTTTTTTTACATACATGGACCATCAATAAGAGATCCTTAAGATCAGGGCAATTCATCATAGAGACCCATAATGGACATTTATTTTTAATTTACAATGCATTTTATTTTGAAACATTTCTTTCTTAAATTCGTTGTTTATGTATTCATTTTATCTGACTCTATCAATAAAAGCATCTCGCAAATCAATTTAATTTTCAAAAAAATTCTTAATGCGCAACATCAAGTTTCTACCTTTATCAAAACACTTTAAACTTGAACATACTATCAATCCTGTAGTCCAAACCTCGGAAGTAGGACCCGGATGTAATCTTACGCCCGGAAGGATCTCTATCAAACCTTCATCCATCCTACTTATCAATCTTCTAAAACATTTATCCACTACGGGATTTTATATTCCTAGATGATTCGATCCTTTCCATCTCCTGACCATGATCCGGAAAAAAGGGAAGGTGACTCATATTGGTGACGTCTTATCTGATTAGATATCTGCCCCACCCCCACGCCAATATCCTATCAATCCGGGCAGTAATTGTCGCCACATGCATGTGACCCCTTTTTAGATACCTTTGGCTTGACGGGACTCAACAATAAAGAAGAGCTTGGTGAATTTTATGGCTATCCATGAGCTTTATATTGTTGATTAGATTTATTTGGCGCTGGGAATGGACATTGATAAACATGGCCCAGATATTGAGTGACTAATACCTCACTGTAGCAGGTATAGGAAGTAGATGAGAGGGACACGTTTTCAACATTTAAATTTTTGAGTAACAGCTACAGGCTGTTGTTGATTGGAATTATCTGAGATTTGATTTGGATTGACATAACAGGTTTCTAATGTATTTTTGTAGGTATAAGAAGTAAACGAAAGAGAGGCTGATGACAGCTTTTGAACATTTAAATTTTTAAGTTTTAGTTATAATCAACAATGTATATATTGTTGATTAGACTTTAAGAGCATGCGTCTGAATGTTGAGAGGCATAAAAATGATTTCCAAGATCTCAAGTTCAAAATGCATTAATTTTAGAATTATAGGAAGACGATGAGAGGGACACATTTTGAACATTTAAATTTTGAAGTTATAGTTGTAGGGATTATGTTTTTTATTAGAATTACCTGTCACTGAGACCTGAACTTGGTAGACATAAGCATGGCCAAGATATCAGGTTTCTATTGCATCATTGTTACAGGTATAAGAAGTAGATGAAAGCCAAACAGACAACTTTTCGACATTTAAATGTTTAAGTTATAGACTTTAATTGTTGGTTGGAGCCGATCACTGGTCTAGTGGTTACTGTACTGGACTACGGGGCCAGTGGTTGTGGGTTTGAATCCCACCGTAGGCATGGATGTAACTTTCTCTCTCAGTATGTTCTATGTCCTTTCTTCTGTGTGATTGTGTGAATGTAACCAGCCTTATGAACGGGTTTGTGGTTGTGTGACGTGGGCGACGCTACACCACCTCCGTGGCTCAACCACAGGTGCCCATTGGGTAAGGATAAGATAGTAACAATTCTGAGGCCAATGGGAAACAGATCCAAATGCCCTTCATTGAAGAAAAAATATTGCTGATTAGAATTGTCTAGTGCTAGAACTAGATATTAATTGATGTGAACATGGCTGGCCTAAATTCAAAAGGGATGATGCATCATTGTTACTTGTATTAGACGTAAACAACACTGAAGCAGAATTATTTTTTGGACGTTTTAATTTTGTCCCGTTTCAGTATTTTTTCTACAATCAAAGAAAGAAAGAAAAATACTATTTTGCATGCCTTTGACTTCTTACTTTGTATGTGTATACTTACTTTTAGAGCTCTCACATAGTAAAAGAAATAATAT